GTTGCACTTTGAAAGCTAGGGGTATAACTAATCTGTTGTAATTCCACTGATGGCCTAGTAGATTTCATTCTTTTTCTGTACTGCTGCAAAAATATCTTATGGCCTACACTGAAATCCTCAGCAAACATACATTAGTTATTGTTTGTTCCTTGCACTTTAGTGTAACAAAAACTAAAATGAAGAGAGAAATTTAAGGCTTACGCCGTAAAGCAAGCAGGTCAAATTTATAATTGCTCATGACTGAGCAATGCAATCCAGGTCCTATTGGAACTGAGCACATGCTGTCCTAACCTTCACAAAGCAAATTTCGAATGTGTCTCTTGAGAAGGTGAAATACAAAGGTATATTTTAAAAATATATACCGGGTGTCATTTAATTACACCAAATGGTACCTGGCCGATAGTCAGCAATTGAGCAATCTATCACTGATGAGTGTTATGAAAAAAACAATGCAAAAAACCCTAATAAATAGTCCTCATAATAAATAACATGGCACTTTAGCCATATAGCAGTTTATTCATAGGAGTGCAACAGGCAGCAGAAGCAGCGTTGGTAACAGACACTGAGTGGGACAGATCACTGAATGACTCCGTTTAGCAAATTAGCGAGTAAGTGAACCAACAGAATAATCATAATAAACAAGCAGTAGTGCCTGACAAAATGTACTTTATTCATTTATTTGGCAAATGTCATTTTAATTATAATAATAGTTCCTAGTATGGTAGTAAATGTTTTGTAGTGTGAATAGTAAAAGGCTTTAAAGCAGTGAGATGAGAGCATACAACAGTCAGATGTCTGCTAAAAGCGGAGAGAAAATTGGTTTTTTTTAATGGCAGTGAGTGAAGTGTGGATTAGCGAGATTGCACTGTAGTTACCAAAAGCGGGGCTGGTAAGGGGAAGCTGGTGTCTGGTGGAGAGATGCAACAGATCTGCTCTGCTCTCAAAACCAAACGGAAAGTAGCAAGTCAGTGGTCATAGAAGAAGTAAACCTGGTCTAAGATGATCACACCATTATCCGTCCCTTGTATTACAGACCCAAAGGGACAGCTCTCTGCTTATCAGGGCCAGCTCTGGCTTTTTTGCCGCCCTAGGCAAAAAAGCCACCCGCGGCCCCCCTCCCCGCCCCCCCAGCATGGCAGGGGAGGGCGCCAAGCCCGGCCGCAGGCCCGCAATCCCTGACCGGCCGGAGCGCCAGGGGGAGGGCGGCGAGCCTGCTGCGGCTCCGCTCTCCCCGGTGGCCAGAGCGC